CTCTTGGTATGAAATTTATAAATAAATCAATTTATTAAAATTTGCTGCATAAATGCATAAATAAATTTGCTGTTCCCGCATTAAAATATAATTTTTTACTCTGAATAAAATTGTAAGAAGGGGTCATATCAGGCCCTCAGTTCTTGAGTTGGACAAGATTATTAGTGTTCAAAAACAGGAGGCTTTCTCAGTGAATGATTGCCTCATGGATGGAAAGCAAAATGTCTTCAACTTCAAAATAAAAGACCAGTTTTGTTTTTAACTTTTCAGTATACATTTTTTATAGTGACCTCACCATCAGATTACTGGTGCAGACACTAGTATCTTAAATAAATTAATAAAAGCTATGAAAATAGAGAAAATTGTCAGAACAATATTTTACTTTTCATGTTTTTCCAGTTCAGCGTCATCACATTAAACATCAAGGATGAGAAAAAACACAGTAAACAAAGATACATTTTTCATCTATTATAATAGCAAAATCTTTAGAAAAATGTTAATTTTGTAACCACCTTTCCTCTGCATGAAGATTATTTTATTTTGGGAGCAAAAAAGGGGGGAAGTAGTCAGAATTAACACATTCACTGAAAAGAACTTTGTGTCCATTTTATTTTGTGAAAAACCAAGATGTCACTGCCTCTGGTTCAGAATTAATAACATCAAATTGTTGCTTTTTGTGTAGAAAATAGTAATTACGATAATAAAAGTGCGACTTGTCCTGAGTTGGCCTTTCACAATAATAAACARCTCCTGCTGTTTCCGCAGTAACAACAGGTGTCTTCAAACACATCASGGCTAAAGTCTCTGCACTCAGATTTTATGTCATTTTGCACAGAGAAGCAGATTTTACTGAAAAACAGCTCAATTTGAAGTAATTATGTTCCAGTTCTRGTTACATTTTAAGGTTCCAGCTGAAAAAATGCTGTCAGTCAGCAGCATTTTGAATTGAAAGCTGCTGTTTAAAAAGTGCAGTCGTGGAAATGAGGAGTCATTTTCCTTCTGGCTTCACTTTAGGAAACGTGCCTCTGACATGAGAGCACATTAGTTACCAGAGCTGAGAGGAGCTGGGACTCGTCACATATCTGATAAGTCCGGCACTCTTTGAAGAGCTGCAGCGGCGGGATTCGGTGTCGCCGAGGTTAATTGCTCAGGCAGGTTACCATGCCGACTGTTCTTAAGTCCATTCAGTGGTAACGGCGTACGTCTTCTTACCACAGCAGATCCTACATGGCCACGGCACTGCCACTGCCAAGTTGTGCCCAAGATGATTTATTTTCTGCAGCTCTTTACTTCACACTCATTCATTCTGTTTAACACCACCAGATGGTTGATCAAATGTGGCAGAATTCAAACTCCATTTGTTTTTTCCTCCCAGTGCTCAATTAAAAGTCGATTTTTTTAACGTACAGTGAGTTTAAACGTAACGAGGTTGATGTACTTAAACACAAGGTCACAGCAAGAACAGAGCTTCACATTCAAACAGCAGTAATAATAAAGAGATAAGAATTCACCAAAACACAAAAAAACATCTTTTTCTGCCAATTTTGACATTATTTTAAAGACTGCAGAGGTCAAGAACAGCAGCTTTTTTTAAATGTGATAATGCTCATTATCTCCTGTTACATTATGGTTCTGAGGTTTAAAATATTTTTTTTCTCTTTGGCTGGTGTAGATAGGAAAAACAGAATAAAGTTTTACTCACAATTCTGCTTAAATATCTTAAAGTCCACATGTCCCCACTGTTCGTTTGTTTCCCTTTAAAAGCATAGGTATCTGATTTATTCTTTTTGTTTGATTCCTTTGCTTCATGTTAGAGCAGGGCTATTCAACTGGRYGCCCGCGGGCCACATCCGGCCTGCAAGTGACCAAAGTGTGGCCCACCAATTGGTTCATTCATCTCTCAAGCCCAAACCRACAGTTTTCTACTTCAATTACTATAAGTTCTTTTAGTTAAACATAGACATGTTTGGTATCTACAGAAACATCAGAGACTTGGCTACAAGCTGGTAAAAACCATTTCAATTAATATACAAGACAGTTAAAACTACAAGCAGTTGAAGATAAAACTATGAAAGTGAAAATAAAATTGGTTTAAAAAGTTGGCAAYACAGAGATGTCAGAATAATATTTGTGTTAAATAGGAGGCAGAATGTGTTATTTTAGTTTTTGATACTGTTTAATTATCACTACTTTTATAGGGTTCTGTATGTTGTATTCATGATTAAATGCAGCAAAATAAACTATTTCAAAGGTAACAGATCTTTGTAATACTTGGTTTATTTACATAATGACTTTATTTGCTGGATGTTCGGCCCCTGAGCTGTTGGCCTGCAGTAACTGTGGCCCCCAGAGCAGTTTAGTTAAATAGCCCTGTGTTAGAGGAGTAGGCAACAACTTCCAGAGAGATATTTCAGAACTGTCCCACCTGGAGGAGACCMCGGGGCAGACCCAGGACTTTCTTGACATTATGTTTCTTAGGAACCCCTCAGAGTCTCTCTGGATGATCTTGAGTTAAACACCAGCCAATACAACTGCTGGATATTTTTATTGAATAATAAATAAACCTACAGTTAAACCATCTAAACTTTTAACATATCAGTCATATCAGTCTTGAAATAAGTAAATAAAGTAAAATCAAATATTTAGATAGCTTGATATACCTCCAATCTATTAATGTTTATATTTTCAGTGTTGAAATGTCATGACTGATTTATTTCAGGAGACTTCATTATCTGAGCCGCCCCTGTTTCTCAGCTCTGCACACAGAGGCAGAAATAGGTTGAGTCAGACAGCAGAACTGATCTAATCTAGTACCAACCCTGGTAACTGCTGCTGCTTCGGTCTGTCTCAACCAGACAACCACATCCCTTTTATTTAAATGTGCAAAATGGAAATAAAATGAACTGTTCYTGTGTGGCTCTGTCACTAAGATACWTTTCAAATTTACTGCACCTGATTATTGTTTTTTAGAGCTTTCTTGTTTAACCAAGACAACAAATTAATGAGGAGGACAATTATGTCGGAACATTTTTGGTAGAAAAGCTGCTAAAGTGGTGATGATGACCCTGCTARGACACTAAAACCTCATCTAGAGCACAGACAAATGTATGTCAAGTTGTACATATTGTCCATAAATTGCACAGATTTGTTAAAATTCTGCATTTATACAAATATACAGAAGAAAAATCAGGGATAAAAAAAACTCTTTCAAATTATTTCAATTCTCAGACCCAGCCTGTAAGGAAATGCTAAGGTTGTTTCTCCCTCTTACTCCTACCTGCTCTCCTGCAGACACCCCACCCCKCAATACCACCCCTGCCCTGTACCACTGCAAATGCCATTATCTGAGCCCCCCGCCCCGCTCCACCCCCAGGTTTTATTATGATATGAACTTTTTTATTGAAATTGACACATTTTTATTTGTTTGTTTGTTTGTTTATTTATTTATTTATTTATTTATTTATTTAT